GGTGCGTCTTGGTCAGTTTAGCTCAGAAAATGCCGCCCTGTTCAATCTGCTGCCATAGGCGCCCGCTTAATCCTGCCTAATGAGTGGGCTGGTTGAGGGCAGAATAAATTCAACCACACCTTTGTTTTATCACAAAACCGGATAGCAACCTCTGTCCGGTTTAGTCCACAAAGCATATCGCATGTAACAGACAGTTACATGACCTACAGCATAGTCAAGCAAGTTAATGTTTCCGACATTTCGGACCGCTAAACAACTATTGATTTAGAACCACCAAGAGTTACAGCAAGTCGCAAAGAAAACAAGAGCTGACTCCACTATTCCAGCACCATTTCAACATTAAATCACCTCTGCTTAGTCTAATACAGTGACAACTAAAAGATAACAAAAACGATTTAGTCCAATCAAAGTAAGCTAAATATGATGTGGCTGCCCATGGTTCTGATTTATGTGTGCGTGTGTGTGTGCGCGTTCGTGCAAGTAGAAAAACATGTTGACTCGCGCTACTTGTAGAGAAACGCCAATGCCATCCTCCTCTCTTTCATGTTGACAAACGGTCTGTCACTCTGTCATACAGTACACGCTTTCATTTTTTGTTGTCTTAGGCTACCTGGCTAAAATACTTGTTCGCTAGCCTAACTTCCATTCATGGGCAACGTTAGCTAGTTAACATTAGCCTTCTACATCTAGTTACATATTGAACTTCCATCCTCTCAGGCCAGGGGCACAACAATGTATGAATTAATGGTTGGATCAGAATCACCATTATAATCATTGGCCAGTACGGAGAATTAAGTCAAGTCCAAATCCCTATCTCCATCCATGGCTAATTTAGGAAAGGGCCAACTTTAGCTAGCTAGCCACCGGAGGACAACAACACAACAAGATGCAACAAATCAAGTTTTTCTGTCAATGACCGTATGCTCTGCTCTCAATGGGATTTGATAGGAGTTGTTACGGAGTCTAGTTGATAGGTAATCGACTAGCTGGGCTGTTCCCCGGACTCCGTGTGTAGGGACTTGTACAATGCTTGACATTTGTCTGTCTTTATTATTTTATCCAACATATCATACTGAAACAGGAGAGACTCCAAAATCCAAGCTGGCTTCCCTTGACACTTTATTTGGTGCGCCAGGACCATTCACAGTTAGAGCTGGCTCAGTTTAGCTCAAGGCTGATTGGCTAATTTTGTATACTTTTTTTATCAAAGAAGGCCAAATGCTCGCTGGCTTCCCTAGCCTTCAATGTTACAGGCGGCAACATTGTCATACTCGTTTGGACCAGAAAGCATCAGATAGATGTCCTACACGTAGAGAGACAGAGGGGTGCTGTTTTGCTCACTCGGATGCTTTCTCCTGTGAGATACATTCAGCCTCTTGCGAAGGAAAATTAATAAACACAGAGACAAAAATTTTTTTTCTAAATTACTATTGGTTATTGACAAACGACCACTTAGGTATGGTAATATTCACATTTTCATAAATTCGTAGACTGTTTGGGAATTACGTATAGTAAGGCATTTGTGAAAATTCTACAGCAATATAGAGTGTGAAAGCGGCCATGCATTTGGACAATTAATAGACACTGCATTAAATAAAACCGAATAAAAACATCTGTCTTGTCCAGGACCAGAGTCTACACAGACCGGTGCGCTATAGCCAATCAGAGCTACAGTAGACCTTTATACAAACAAGCCATTTGCCACAGGAGCCTGCCATCATTCACTTTGAACTGGACTGTGTGTTTACAAGCAGTTGCAACAGCGCGACTTTAGATCATTAGAACGCATTCGCCAAAAGCCACAAAATACACCTGAATGGATTTCTGCAAATATGTAAACACCACAGAGTCCTCTTAAATTTGGGAACTTTATTGTCCTATTGATCAAACAACCATGAAAACGTAGGCTCTCTCTCCCTCAGTTATGCACATCAACAACAACAAGATCAACAACTAATGCTAGCCAGAGCAAGATGAGCTAAAATCTAACGAAGGAACATTAGATAAACCCTCTCAAACTTTTTCAGCTAGTTGGCTGTCAAAATTGCGCTGATAAACAATGGGGAATTGTAGCCTCCTCGTCCTTCTGCAGCTTGCCTGCCAATGCATGCTTGTCCCAACCAAGAACTCAAGCTAACTGGCTATCTTGCTAGCCAGCTACTTCCAGACAAAAATGAGAGAACACCTCACTCTGACCATTTTACTCGCCGTAGCAGAGCTGGTTACACATTTACATTTTAGTCATTTAGCAGATGCTCTTATCCAGAGCGACTTACAGTTAGTGAATACATCTTTTTTTTTTATATACTGGCCCCCCGTGGGAATCAAACCCACAACCCTGGCGTTGCAAACGCCATGCTCCATCAACTGAGCTACATCCCTGCCGGCCATTCCCTCCCCTACCCTGGACGACGCTGGGCCAATTGTGCGCCGCCCATGAGTCTCCCGGTCACGGCCGGCTGCGACAGAGCCTGGATTCGAACCAGGATCTCTAGTGGCACAGTTAACACTGCGATGCAGTGCCTTAGACCACTGCACCACTCAGGAGACACATACACTATTTACATGTTATCTAGAGTGTTCTTGACTAACTATTACTTTTTTTGCCTACGTTTACTGACACAGGTCATATTCAGCAGGTGTTGCACGTTCGTAAATTAATCAGTTTTTCTGCGCTCTGGCACACTCAGACGAGAGTGCTCTGAAATCATATAGATAGCCAGAGTGAATTTGCGAACGCATGAGATATGCTAACTGGATAACAGTCGTTCTAGTTCTTGCTAGCTAACCAAATGACACCTTCATCTCTAGTGGTGTATAGCCACCGAAAAACGATATGAGGGGGAAAAGTCAGTCACTCACCCACTCCTCTAATGGCATGACAAGACATCCTCCTAGCAGCTAGCTATCTAGCTAACGTTAGGCTCCGTGTTTTTAGCTTAGTACATATATAGATACGCTAGCCTATTAGCCACGTTATGACTGACTTGTGATCTTTGCCCTTGCTAGTTTGATTGTATTGACATTCCCAGCCTTAGTTACATTAGTCCGTTTTTGTCCAGAATATTGAGTCATTGAAACTGAAACAGTGCATCCCGAATGGAGGCAGCAAACAATGTACCAGGCCAGCTGTGATTTACAACCTGATAGCAATATTTTTTGGACTACCAAGAAATGTATTGATGAATTCTATTAATTGAACTGCATCCATGTATTCTGCCAACAATGCTTTAGTGTACGTCATGGAACGTTGAGTCAAATATAACCTATTTTTAAAACCTCTTATAAAGTTGGTTTTGTAGCATAAACTGGGAATCTGATATTTTTGACTGATATTATGATTGTCTGTTTGTTTCATATCTGCAAAGTAGTTAAAACTGTCAGTTCCACTTTAAACTTTAGGTTACCGGTTATTTTGTGTACTAAACATGAAATGTTTTTTGCAATGGGAAGTAATAGTTGTACATTTAGATTGGGAAATGCTTAATGGTTGTGTTTTTGTAGTCTTATGATTGGCTTATTATGTCAGAGTTCATGGACATCTTATCGTTTAACATCGTGCTGTGTGACTGCTGTCTTTCCATCGGCCCTATGCAGTGGTCTAGTGGTGCCTTGAGAAGTAGGTTTACTCAAATTTTGCCCAAATGTTTTTTTTGCGTTTTCCTATAGATTTTTCAGATTTTCACTCTCAAAATCACAAATTGATGTTCTAAGTCCACAACAATGCTTAAACCACATCAATCTGATTGTGTGGGCCTGTCAGGGCCTGGCTCCCCAGTGGTTGGGCCTCTGTCCACCCATGTCTACGCCCCAGATGCAAACAGTGCATGATGACAATAGCACATCACAAATAGCCTACTAACAACCAAAAAAAAATTCAATACCTGGTTTGCATACCCATTGTTTCCTTAGTTAGCATTTACTGGTAGATATCATTTTACATTTACATTTAAGTCATTTAGCAGATGCGCTTATCCAAAGCGACTTACAAATTGGTGCATTCAACTTACGATAGCCAGTGGGACAACCACCCAATTTATTTTAAATTTTTTAATGGATCACTGTTATACTATTCCAGGTATTCCTTAAAGAGGTATATCATAAGTTGAAACGTATTTCCTACCCTACCGGCTACTGATGTCATTCTTCTGTGAGCTGCTCCATGCCAAAACCAGCTGAGAGCTGCACATTCTTGCTGCCTGCAGATGATATTCTGTTGAAACTAGGCATGTGAATATATTTATTGTGCGTTGCAATTGTGTAGGCTACTTTGTGCATGATTTCTCTATTGTACTACATCATTGAAAAGTTGAATACCTCCACTACACTACTTTGATACGCATCAGTAGGGATTAAGAAGTGAGTATAAGCAATGCCCACTGAAAAAAAAGTAGATATACTTATACCTGCGTGAACCCTCCACTACACCACTGGCCCTTTGTGTTTTACAAAAAGTGCACTCTCCTACATGAGTGCGCTGGTGTTACTGTTGCTGTCCTTTCAGAATCACGAACCTGTCACACACTGAAGGCCTATAGGTTCGCCCCTGCACAAACATGTCTATAATAGATATAAAGGCTGTTAGGATATTAATGTTTCACGAAAGGAGTGTATATATTTGGCCTGGCGATGCGGTTTTATGCACTGACTGAATAGAAGTGGATAATTGAGTTTTTTACTCTGCTGGTCTCGGGAAGAAATGAAGAGTCCTAGACCGAGTCAAGACAGAGTACAAATGTATCTGACACCGAGACAAGACCGAGACACTCAATATGCGGTCTGGAGACCGGACTCCGGAACGGTCCCGAGTACTACAACACTGCTAACTACATGTCAGTCAATTATTTTAGCCAGCTAATGTGGCTTCTACTTGATTACCTTTGACTGTTCCTCCCATACAGAGAGCCTCTGAAACAGCACGGGGACCACAGAACCACTGGTGTGCATTTGGACTTGATACAACAACAGAAGGAGGCATCCACAGACAGAAAGGCGGAGGGATGCAGCCAGTGTCTGAAATGGAGGTTGCCGCGCCAGAGGGGGATGTCACAGGGGGGTTGTCCCGAGCCGACTGCCTCTGCCCTGTATGCCTGGAGATCTTCCTGGAGCCGGTAACATTGCCGTGCGGCCACACCTTCTGCAAGCCCTGCTTCCTGGAGACGGTGGACAAGTCCAACCTGTGCTGCCCGCTGTGTCGCAAGCGGGTGTCCACGTGGGCACGGCTCAACGGCCGGAACAAGACGCTAGTCAACGATGAGCTGTGGCGGCGGGTGCAGGTGGAGTTCCCCATGCAGTGCCAACGCAGGCTCAGTGGACAGGAGGAGGTTGAAAACAGTTAAGTGACTGACACACTGTCTGTGTTTTCCATTTAACATTAATTTAACATGAAGTGACTTCCAAATGGCCTGTGTACTTTAGTACAGCTGTGTTGGGTATGCTTTGAGGTAATTACGGGTCCACACAGCACCTTGGAATCAGACAAATGTATTTATTCTCACTGTTGTGGGTTAAGCAAGGTCTGTTGACCTGCCGTTTCCCTCTGCCTCCAGTATCTGTCCCCGGACCCAAAGTCAGTCTGCCTGGAGAGGTACGGAGAGAGTACGAGGATCAAATCAGCAAGGTGAACTCTTAGGGTACATTATACCTAGGGTCCTGAGTTTTTCCTGACCACGTAACGTGACCAGGAAAAACTCTGGGCCATACTTATAATGCAAGTTTACATTTTACTACACTCTTCAGTCACAATTGACATGACCTCTGACCCTTTTCCAGCTATTAGAGGAGAAGCGTGCCCTGGAGGAGGCAGAGAAGAAAGCAAGTGAGGAGTACATCCAGTGCCTCCTCGCAGAAGAGAGCCTGGCGGAGGAGAGAAAGAGGCACGAGGAGAAGCAGCTGGAGAATGACGAGAAGCTGGCCAGACTGCTCTGCCAGGAGCTGGTGGGTTTCCCTCATTTATATAGGCACACAGACCAGTTTCACTTTTTCATAAGAACATAGTTTATTGCTGACAATAGGCAAATTGCAGTATAGTAGCAGATCAGGTTTACAGGTTGTATAGGTAAAGTGCTTGGTGCAATTAGTGTTCTAATCTTAGAAGCTTGCATTAGCTTTTCAGGTCAGTGACATGGGCCAAATCTGAAACCAAAAACAGAACACAATGTCAGAAAAACAGCATAGCCTACAATGCACGGTTCAAACTTTGAAATGCATTTGCTTACAAATGTTGGGGGTAACGCAGTACAGTAATAATATTACTTTTTGCAGTAACGAGTAATATAATGGAGTACTGTTCCAATTTGAGTAATAATATTACATTTACTGATTAAATATATTTTTTAAAGGTTGTCGTTGCTTTTGTTATCATTCCCTTCCTATTAGTTATTTATCCAAATAAATATTTGTATTTCCCCCTCTGTCCTCGTAATATTGAAAAAACACAACTTCCAATCTCTTGAAGCACCTGCAAAGTCAACAGTAGTGCACTGGGCCTTTACTAGTCCTTTATTAGCAGACCAATATAGCTACTGTAGTACGGGCAAAACATTTATTATCAACAATAAAGACTGCAAACGTAATATCCGCGTAACTCCTGGTATACAGTGGGGGAAAAAAAGTATTTAGTCAGCCACCAATTGTGCAAGTTCTCCCACTTAAAAAGATGAGAGAGGCCTGTAATTTTCATCATAGGTACACGTCAACTATGACAGACAAATTGAGAAAAAAAATCCAGAAAATCACATTGTAGGATTTTTAATGAATTTATTTGCAAATTATGGTGGAAAATAAGTATTTGGTCACCTACAAACAAGCAAGATTTCTGGCTCTCACATACCTGTAACTTCTTCTTTAAGAGGCTCCTCTGTCCTCCACTCGTTACCTGTATTAATGGCACCTGTTTGAACTTGTTATCAGTATAAAAGACACCTGTCCACAACCTCAAACAGTCACACTCCAAACTCCACTATGGCCAAGACCAAAGAGCTGTCAAAGGACACCAGAAACAAAATTGTAGACCTGCACCAGGCTGGGAAGACTGAATCTGCAATAGGTAAGCAGCTTGGTTTGAAGAAATCAACTGTGGGAGCAATTATTAGGAAATAGAAGACATACAAGATCACTGATAATCTCCCTCGATCTGGGGCGCCACGCAAGATCTCACCCCGTGGGGTCAAAATGATCACAAGAACGGTGAGCAAAAATCCCAGAACCACACGGGGGGACCTAGTGAATGACCTGCAGAGAGCTGGGACCAAAGTAACAAAGCCTACCATCAGTAACACACTACGCCGCCAGGGACTCAAATCCTGCAGTGCCAGACGTGTCCCCCTGCTTAAGCCAGTACATGTCCAGGCCCATCTGAAGTTTGCTAGAGTGCATTTGGATGATCCAGAAGAGGATTGGGAGAATGTCATATGGTCAGATGAAACCAAAATATAACTTTTTGGTAAAAACTCAACTCGACAAAGAATGCTGAGTTGCATCCAAAGAACACCATACCTACTGTGAAGCATGGGGGTGGAAACATCATGCTTTGGGGCTGTTTTTCTGCAAAGGGACCAGGACGACTGATCCGTGTAAAGGAAAGAATGAATGGGGCCATGTATCGTGAGATTTTGTGTGAAAACCTCCTTCCATCAGCAAGGGCATTGAAGATGAAACGTGGCTGGGTCTTTCAGCATGACAATGATCCCAAACACACCGCCCGGGCAACGAGTGGCTTTGTAAGAAGCATTTCAAGGTCCTGGAGTGGCCTAGCCAGTCTCCAGATCTCAACCCCATAGAACATTTTTGGAGGGAGTTGAAAGTCCGTGTTGCCCAGCGACAGCCCCAAAACATCACTGCTCTAGAGGAGATCTGCATGGAGGAATGGGCCAAAATACCAGCAACAGTGTGTGAAAACCTTGTGAAGACTTACAGAAAACGTTTGACCTGTGTCATTGCCAACAAAGGGTATATAACAAAGTATTGAGAAACTTTTGTTATTGACCAAATACTTATTTTCCACCATAATTTGCAAATAAATTCATTAAAAATCCTACAATGTGATTTTCTGGAGAAAAAAATTATTCATAGTTGACGTGTACCTATGATGAACATTACAGGCCTCTCTCATCTTTTTAAGTGGGAGAACTTGCACAATTGGTGGCTGACTAAATACTTTTTTCCCCACTGTATGCACCCCACACGGAAGGACTCAAAAGGGATGGTTACATATAGACTTCTCTCTTACATTAGGGAAAGGGAGATACCTTGTCAGTGGTACAACTGAATGCATTCAACTGAAATGTGTCTAACACATTTAACCAAACCCCTCTAAATCAGAGAGGTGCTGGGGGCTAACTTAATTAACATCCACCATTAGACCATCAATTAATGTTCCTTTCCTCAATTTCTTTAGTAATTATTTTATCAACAAATGACCTCACAATTTATGGAGTCTACGATATTGTGAGGGAATGTAAGACAACCAATCCGAGAGGAAAATTATGAACTTGCGTGTACTGTACAACTTGCTGAAAACGTTATTTGCAAACCTGTAAAATGTCCCTTAATGTCCTCTTCTCAAAAATGTATACAAAGGGTGGTTCTAATCCTGAATGCTGATTTGGTTAAAACCGCGTTCTAGTCGGTATCTATTCCACAAGTTACCAACAGCTAAATCTATGACGTTAAAATGCCTATTTACTCTGTTCCATCTGACTGCGCAATCCACTGTCTCATCAGCCCAGCCAGGCACTTTATAAACTTGATCTCCACTATAAAAAGCTTCTAGACATTATCTCACATTTCTTTTAGACTAGCATTTCATTTTCAACAGCGGAGATTTGTATAAACCTTTGTATAAACCTCAATTTTCAAATTCGATCTCCAGCTGTCCCATTGTAATGAACGTGTCGGGACGAGACAGACAGGCAGGCAGTGTTTCTCAGCCAGTCAAAATCATGAATCACCTGGCATCATTTTTATGGATAAATACAAAGAAATGTCAATTGAAAAAAGGTAAAACGAAACAATGTGCAGCTAGTTTGCAGTCTTTCCAGCTTCAGTTTGAAGTAACTGTGTTAGCTGTGTTGTTGGCTAGCTCCTCTGAACAACCGTGTCCTGACGAGAGAGCACATCTTCTATGCCAGGCAAAATTGCGAATCATTAGCTCATTGTTATGGATGTATCCAAATAAATGTCACTGGAAAACAGCTTAAACAAATGCAAATGCAGCTACTGTAAGTTAGCCTTAGTTGGCTAGCTAGCATGCAAGGAATAAGAACGTTGCCAGCCAATATGGCAATGGAACATTTAGAACGAACGACTGGGTCGCGTCCATAGATACAGAACAAAAAGACTGAACGACTGGGTCGTGTCTCTGGCAACCGAACCGATAGAACAAACGACCAGCCGGCTTGGGTAGCAACCCTAGATTTGTGTCGGGACTATATCTTGTGGAAGGATTAAATATTATGAATACATTCATCAAAATAACGTTTTTAATTAAAATATGTCAATCTTTATTTGAATATGTTGGTAACCCGTAACTTCGTCTCGGGCCTAACAACACCCATGCTTCTCAGGCATTATATCCTGGTAAGGTAGTTGATTGCTGTTTTAAAATAAGGAAATATGGGTGGGTGGCACTATGTATTGGGATTGAATCACTGTATTAAAACATTTTTTTCCCTTCTTTTCAGAATCCAAGACCTATCTCTGAGTCACAGAAGAACACGTGGACGAATGACATCACCCCAGCAAAGAAGAAACAGAACGCCAATGCTGGAGATATAGAGAAGTGAGTCCCCTTCCGTGGTCAGACTTGCACTGTGGTCCAATTCTCTCCTCTTCTCCCAGAAGTGTGCACTCATTCACTTGTGTATTTAAAAAGATTGGTGGTGTAAGGAAAATGGTGGAAGTGAACAAGTGCACACTTCTGAGAGAAGGGTAGAGAATCAAAGTGCAAACCTAAATAGAAACCTTGCAAAGTGTGGAAGGTGTGCTGATGGCGCAAACGGGCAGATAAGTAACTTAATTAAATACAGTGCATTCGGAAAGTATTCAGACACCTTGACTTTTTCCACATTTTGTTACGTTACAGACTTATTCTAAAATTGATGGAATTGTTTTTTTTCCCTCATTAATCTACAACCGCATAATGACAAAGCAAAAACAGTTTTTTAGAAATGTTTGCACATTTATAAAAATAAAAAAACGTTCACATTTACATAAGTATTCAGACGCTTTACTCAGTACTTTGTTGAAGCACCTTTGGCAGCGATTACAGCCTCGAGTCTTCTTTGGTATGACGCCACAAGCTTGGCACACCTATATTTGGGGAGTTTATCCCATTCGTCTCTGCAGATCCTCTAAAGCTCTGTCAGGTTGGATGGGGAGCGTCGCTGCACAGCTATTTTCAGGTCTCTCCAGAGATGTTCGATCGGGTTCAAGTCCGGGATCTAGCTGGGCCACTCAAGGACATTCAGAGACTTGTCCCAAAGCCTTTCCTGCGTTGTCTTGGCTGTGTGCTTAGGGATGTTGTCCTGCTGGAAGGTGAACCTTCACCCCAGTCTGAGGTCCTGAGTGCTCTGGAGCAGGTTGTCATCAAGGATCTCTCTGTTATTTGCTCCGTTCATCTTTCCCTCGATCCTGACTAGTCTCCCAATCCCTGCTGCTGAAAAACATCCCCACAGCATGATGCTGCCTCCACCATGCTTCACCGTAGGGATGGTGCCAGGTTTCCTCCAGACGTGACGCTTGGCATTCAGGCCAAATAGTTAAATCTTGGTTTCATCAGACCAGATAATCTTTCTTATGGTCTGAGAGTCCTTTAGGTGTCTTTTGGCAAACTCCAAGAAGGCTGTCGTGCCTTTTACTTAGGAGTGGCTTCTGTCTGGCCACTCTACCATAAAGGCCTGATTGGTGGAGTGCTGCAGAGATGGTTGTCCTTCTGGAAGTTTCTCCGATCTCCACAGAGGAGCTCTGTCAGAGTGACCATCGGGTTCTTGATCGCCTCCCTGACCAAGGCCCTTCTCCCCCGATTGCTCAGTTTGGCCAGCTCTAGGAAGAGTCTTGGTGGTTCCAAACTTCTTCCATTTAAAAATGGAGGCCATTTTGGGGACCTTCAATGCTGCAGAAATGTTTTGGTACCCTTCCCCAGATCTGTGCCTCGACACAATCCTGTCTCGGAGCTCTACGGACAATTCCTTCGACCACATGGCTTGGTTTTTGCTCTGAATGCACTGTCAACTGTGGGACCTTATATAGACAGGTGTGTGCCTTTCCAAATAATGTCCAATCAATTGAATTTACCACAGGTGGTCTCCAATCAAGTTGTAGAAACAGTTTCAAGGATGATCAAGGAAAACAGGATGCACCCGAGCTCAATTTCGAGTCTCATAGCAAAGGGTCTGAATACTTATGTAAATAAGGTATTTCTGTTTTGTTTTTTTATACATTTGCAAACATTTCTAAAAACCAGTTTTTGCTTCGTCATTATGGGGTATTTAATCTATTTCAGAATAAGGCTGTAACGTAACAAAATGTGGAAAAATGGAAGGGGTCTGAATACATTCCGAATGCACTGTATATTACTGGGGAGTGTTCTGACAAATAATTTTGTTTCCAGATTCTTATCCCCTATTCCACGAAGACACGGCAGCAACTCCGAGACTAGTCCCACCTCCAGCTTCATGGCTAACAAGGTTGGTCTCTGTCACTCAAATGCTCATGCAATCAGCATTTACTGAAAAACTTGCTTTCTGAATCCACATACACCTAACATGTGACTGATAAACATTATGTATCTAAAGAGCCTAAACAGACTTTTGCCTTTGGCCATTGGTCTTGAGCCAAAAGGGGTCCCGTAAATGGACGGAAATATTGTCCAGAAATGACCTAATTTGGAATACCCCTCCCCACACCCAAGCAAATAGTGTTTGCTTAAAAGGATTGGTTTTTGTGGTTTTATGAGGGGGGAGGGGGGGGGGGGGGGGGGGGGGATATATGGCAAATTGAAATCCAATATGGATGGTGTTAAGAGATAGATGAGAGGTGTTGAATGGAGCTGAAGGATGGGACTAATAACAACTAACAACAACTAATAACAACGAGATAACTAATGTAAAGCATACTGTGCCCATAATAAGTATATAGGTTATAGGTTGAGAGCTTTTGTGAAAGAGCACAGTTAGAAAGATATGGCATATAGAAGCAAACCGGATGGACATCATGAAAATGATCGGAGAGGTTGAGGGTAGAGGAAGTTCAGGAGTAAAAACAAACAAAAAAGAATAATTGTAAAATTGACTGTGTCCATAAAATGTATATAGTATGGATAAGCTGGAAGTAGAGGCCTAAGCATAGTTGTTTACTAGTTTACTCCAATTAGGGAAGGGGTGGTGGCGTTGGAAAGTAATAAAGGGGAAATGATATGTGTATATATATGTATGTATGTATGTATGTATATGTGTATATATTTGAATTTAACAAACAAAAAACAAAAGCAAATATATATAAAATTAACTTTGATATTGTATCTTTAACTTCTGTTTACTTTTGTGTCCGATTGAAGGAGAACATCTTGCACTCGGAGAGGGAGCCTTGGTCTTCCAAAGACTTCTACCCGGAGAGCTGCCAGACGCCGTGTCAGGCCTCAACGTCATCAGAGGCGTACCATCTGACCGACCCCTCGGGAACTTCCCTGGCACGCACACCCCTCCACGGCACCCCGAGGAGAGGAGTGACCTCGGCCAAGAGGAAGAGCAGTGACATTGAGGAGCCAAACAAAGGGGAAGTAGACGTTGTCAGTAAGCGGCTCTGTCCTTCCTCCTCATCATCCTTCCTCTATCTGCAGCGTGGAGAGGTGGTCCTAGTAGGCCTAGGGGAGAAGGCCCCGCTGCTCCAGGAGCTGGCCCAGAGAGAAGAGATGCTGTTCAGCCGCTTGCAACAGGAGCAGGAGGACCGGCAGCTGGCTTTCCAGCTGCAGAGGCAGCTGAACCGTGAGGAGGCCGTCCTCGCAGTAGACCGCAGCAAGGGCTCCAGTGACCAGTACCAGCTCCGCCAGAAACCTGCCTCCAGTTCTGGCTCCAGGTCAGAGGGGAGTGGTCATAGCAGGGGGCGCTCACGCTCCTCCACCTCCAAAGAGGACAGGAACACAGTGGAAAGGAGGCGGTTGTCTGGGCCCTCATCTACCACCAATCAGGGGGAAATTAGCTCCACCATCTCCAGCGCTGCTGCCACACCCTCCAACCCACTGGAGAGGGGGCAGTAAGCAGGCCACCCTCACAGAGATGTTCCCCAGCCTGGGCAACTGAATCCTGGGTGTTTGGAGCATCTACAGTGGCACCGCTCATCACCATCACCTCTTGTTAACTGGTCTCGCCTTATCGCCTACGAGGGCTCAGGTGGTCAGGATTGGAATGAAGGAGTTTTGTCTGTGACGTTATGAACTTATACCTTAGAAAGAAGAGTGTAGATAGTGCTTGGACATTGACGGTCTGGGATTTCACTGTGGTTTGAATGCGTTTCAAGGTCTTTGATGGTTTGAGGGCTCACTGGAAATGGCAGAGACTGGCTCAATCGACAGATTGTTTTGATAGTAGGTTCATTTTACTCAGATTCTCTAGAGATTCATGTAATGATTACTTTGGAATGAAATAAAACATTTTTGAAAGATCTGTCTTGTGGTGTGTATTCATGAATGCCAAGGGAAGCCAGGCTTCCCCAAATATTTGGACCGATAAAAAATAAAATAGTGAACAAAAATATGAACGCAATAGGTAACAATTGCAAAGATTTTACTGAGTTATAGTTAATATAAGGAAATCAGTCAATTGAAATAAATTCATTAGGCCCTAATCTATGGATTTCACATGACTGGGCAAGGGCGCAGCCATGGGTGGGCCTGGGAGGAGAGCCAGGCTCAGCCTATCAGAATGATTTTTTTCCCCCACAAAAGGGCTTTATTACAGACCGAAATACTTCAGTCATATGCAGTGAGGTTCTGAAATAACTCAACCGGCTAGTTTGTCTGTCTGTAAAGAGAAGGGCAGGCTGTAGGTTGATCCTGCTGCTCTGATTGGATATTGTGAAGCTGTTTCACTCGCTTCATAATTTCACCCGATCACTTTCCATGCATGGTTTCGGTCTGATCATTTAGATTGCTGCTGCCTGCTACTATGATAAATCCCATGGCGAGGACGTTTCCTATGAAGCTATCAATGTGCATAATATCTCAAAAGCAATGGTAGGGAAAACAGATGAAATGCTGATGCGCATTCTGACTGAGTGACATCAAACTTGGCTGCCCACTGCAAGTTGAGGACACAGACACACACACCCCTCCGCACGCTGCTCCTAACCTGCTGCTTTTCTTTACAGTGAGAAAGTGCAAGGCGGTATTTTGCCAAAATCTATTTAAGCATATTAAAACAACTTCAGTTTTTTCCGATCACGAAGATCCGATCAGACTATCAACTTACGGATACGATTTCGAGTAAGGACATGTCGGCACACCCCTACCCTAGAGTGTTCCAAGCATGTGCCGTTACACTTGCTATGTTTATGAAAGTTGTCTGGAGCAAGTCTAGTGTTGAGGAGGAGGTCAGCAATCCCACCATGTTCGATCTGTCTGAGAGTCCCTACAGTTGACACTTTGATGTCAAGGAAACAGCTGATTTTTGAACAGTTTTCCTCTCCCCTCTTTTTGTTGAGATACGTCCAGAGGAGGAATTTTATGAAGTTTGTGTGGGTTACTTTGACAGAGATGGTGTTCTGATGAGGAAATGGCGTTCTCGCGCCACTTCTGGGCAAGACGATTGGTCCAGTGGATCTCAAATTGTTGGTCCAGTTACACTTGGACAAGATATACTGAGGTTGGCTCACGATGGTAGTATGGCAGGCCATCTTGGGGTCAAGAAAAGTATGACCGTATCTTGCGTAACTTCTTCTGGCCTGGTCTGAAACAGGATGTTGTGGCTTACTGTAAATCCTGTTATGTTTGCCAGCGGATGGGGAACCAAGCAGTACCGGTTGCACCTTTGCAGCCTATTCCTACTTTTGTAGAACCTTTCAGCAGGGTTCTGGTGGACTGTGTTGGTCCTTTGCCCAAAGCAGAGTGGTAACCAAATTATTTTACCATCATGTGCGCTGCCAATCGTTTCCCTGAGGCCATTCCACTGAGGAAAATCACAGCTCACAGTATTGTTAAGTCCCTGGTGAAATTATTTTCAACGTTTGGACTCAGTGCAATCAGACCAAGGTTTGAATTTCATGTCAAAGGTGTTCCAGCAAGTGTTCCAGCAATTGGGTGTTACCCATTGCCCCTCCGGTCAAATCAAATCAAATGTTATTTGCCACATGCACCGAATACAACAGGTGTAGACATTACAGTGAAATGCTTACTTACAAGCCCTTAACACTTTTTTTATTTTACTTTTTTATTTTAAAAAAATGCATTGTTGGTTAAGTAAAAATGTTTTAAGCAAATAACTAAAGCGCTGTAGTAAAATAAAACAACAGTAGGGAGGCTATATACAGGGGGGTACCAGTACAGAGTCAATGTGCGGGGGCACCGGCTAATCGTACTACACCGGCTCTGACGCTCGTCGGATGTAAATGCTACAATGGAGATTCTGGGGATTGAACCAGAGACCTCATACATGCAAAGCACGTGCTTTAACACTGAGCTACATCCCCTTGCTGTGATATGAATAATACCATATCAATACAATTAACTTTTTTTAATGACCATTCCAATGAAAGTACAATTCCATGATATCAGCTATCTTCCCTAAAGTTACGAACAATGATTGAACCCATGTGCTTCAGTTTAAAAAACTTACCACGTCTCTGTTTCCTCCTTAGAATATTAACATTCTGGAAAGAAGGAGTTGTGTAAAAGCAAATTTAATAACCAAAAACTATACAATGGATGTCGGGATTGAACCCACAACCTAATACATGCAAAGCATTCGCTCCACCACTGAGATACATCACATGTCAGTTAATGACATATAAATACAATGAGTTTTTCTTCAAACAACTCCATTGAAAGTACAATTCCAGCATGACAGCTATTTCTCATAACAGCACGGACGGGGATTGAACACGTAATCCTCAGTTTACGAGACCAACGCCTTACCACTTGGCCACCATATTCTGCTTGGAATATCAACATTCTGGAAAGTAGCAGTTCTGTAAATGCTACAACAGTGATGCTTGGGATTGAACACAGGACCTCATACTTGCAAAGCAAACACTCTACTGCTTAGACACATCCCCTTTAAATATAAATAATGCCATATCAACACAATTAACTTTTTATGTACCCCATTCCAATGAAAGTACAATTCCATTACATCAGCTATCTTCCATAAAGGCACGGACAGGGATTTAACGCATGTTCTTTAGGTTACAAGACCAAATCACTTACCACATCTCTATTTCCTATTAAACATCAACATTCTGGAAAGTAGCAGTTGTGTAAATGCTACAATGAAGATTCTGGGAATTGAACACATGACCTCATACAGTGAGGGAAAAAAGTATTTGATCCTCTGCTGATTTTGTACGTTTGCCCACTGACAAAGAAATGATCAGTCAAAGATTTTAATGGTAGGTTTATTTGAACAGTGAGAGACAGAATAAAAACAAAAAAATCCAGAAAAACGCATTTTATAAATTGATTTTCATTTTAATGACGGAAATAAGTATTTGACCCCCTCTCAATCAGAAAAATGTCTGGCTCCCAGGTGTCTTTTATACAGGTAACGAGCTGAGATTAGGAGCACACTCTTAAAGGGAGTGCTCCTAATCTCAGCTTGTTACTTTTATAAAAGACACCTGTCCACAGAAGCTATCAATCAATCAGATTCCAAACTCTCCACCATGGCCAAGACCAAAGAGCTCTCCAAGGATGTCAGGGACAAGATTGTAGACCTAAACAAGGCTGGAATGGGCTACAAGACCATCGCCAAGCAGCTTGGTGAGAAGGTGACAACAGTTGATGCAATTATTCGCAAATGGAAGAAACACAAAATAACTGTCAATCTCCCTCGGCCTGGGGCTCCATGCAAGATCTCACCTCGTGGAGTTGCAATGATCATGAGAATGGTGAGGAATCAGCCCAGAACTACACAGGAGGATCTTGTCAATAATCTCAAGGCAGCTGGGACCATAGTCACCAAGAAAACAATTGGTAACACACTACGCCGTGAAGGACTGAAATCCTGCAGCGCCCGCAAGGTCCCCCTGCGCAAGAAAGCACATATACAGGCCCGTCTGAAGTTTGCCAATGAACATCTGAATGATTCAGAGGAGAACTGGGTGAAAGTGTTGTGGTCAGATGAGACCAAAATCGAGCTCTTTGGCATCAACTCAACTCGCCGTGTTTGGAGGAGGAGGAATGCTGCCTATGACCCCAAGAACACCATCCCCACCGTCACACATGGAGGTGGAAACATTTTGTTTTGGGGGTGTTTTTCTGCTAAGGGGACAGGACAACTTCACCGCATCAAAGGGACGCTGGATAGGGCCATGTACCGTCAAATCTTGTGTGAGAACCTCCTTCCCTCAGCCAGGGCATTGAAAATGGGTCGTGGATGGGTATTCCAGCATGACAATGACCCAAACCACACGGCCAAGGCAACAAAGGAGTGGCTCAAGAAGAAGCACATTAAGGTCCTGGAGTGGCCTAGCCAGTCTCCAGACCTTAATCCCATAGAAAATCTGTGGAGGGAGCTGAAGGTTCGAGTTGCCAAACGTCAGCCTCGAAACCTTAATGACTTGGAGAAGATCTGCAAAGAGGAGTAGGACAAAATCCCTCCTGAGATGTGTGCAAACCTGGTGGCCAACTACAAGAAACGCCTGACCTCTGTGATTGCCAACAAGGGTTTTTGCAGCAAGTACTAAGTCATGTTTTGCAGAGGGGTCAAATACTTATTTCCCTCATTAAAATGCAAATCAATTTATAACATTTTTGACATGTGTTTTTCTGGATTTTTTTGTTGTTATTCTGTCTCTCACTGTTCAAATAAACCTACCATTAAAATTATAGACTGATCATTTCTTTGTCAGTGGGCAAACGTGCAAAATCAGCAGGGGATCAAATACTTTTTTCCCTCACTGTACATGCAAAGCATGGGCTCTGACACTGTGCTTCATGCCCTTCATGTGATATAAATAATGCCCTATCAATATGTCATGATAATTTTGTTATCTCAATGGTTGAAGTCAAACACTTCTTAAATCTTTGAATAATTCCCAAATTAA